TGCATCCGTATTTACGGAAGAAGTGTAGAACCCACGCTAACCATTGGCGAGGTATATACTAGTATACGACTTGACCCATGATAATCACAACACATTGGACATCCGCTCATGGACTGAATAACAATCAAAGTTGATTCCCCAAAAAACAACAACCTAATGTAAATCGTAAATACGATAGCTGATTTGAGCCAAAATACGTTCAAGTGTTTACCATCGTACTTCTTTGTTTTTGTTTTTATGAGCGGGAATTATGAGAAAGTTGAAGGACTAACCAAAAGTCGCGGACAGTATTTCTAACGCTAGTCGCTGAAATAGCACACATATTATTACTGGTTGTTATACAAGAAATCCGTTATTAGCTCACCCACGCATGGCCGATGCATCAATTTATGTTCATTGGGCGAGAAACAATAAGTTCTAACATGCATACGTAAATATTAATTTTAAAATTGGTGAAAGCTTCTAGAACCGATAAATAAAATATATAGATATTGGTGGTTTCGGACGAAATATCTTTTCGCAATGATAGATTTGAATGATGATAAATATCCCCGAAACGTTTGGTTAGGGGTATATTGAATAATGACCAAAGACTACGATTACGTACATAAATATACGTTTGCTGATTGGTAAACACACCGGCTTTATTTTTATAATACTATCTAGCGTGGATGTTGTGGATACACCTATACACATGGCCTTGAACGATCGACTTATCAAGTACCAATTAACATATCTCTCCCAAATGAAATATAACTATGTCGCTGCGCGTGAACGATTCTTTATTATCCTGGTACGAAAATGTCGTAGCGTAACGGAGCTAGCAACATATATTCCCCGGCTTATCTCAATGATATACTATTACAAGCAGAAATAGGGATATGCAAGACAGTACGAGCGCGCCAGATATTCTACACTCAGTCCAAAGCCAATTGAAGTACGCCGACTTGTTTGCAAACTCCCGTTGAAACGCGTTCCGCAACTCGAATGCGAATCTAACACGGCGTGGATGTGGAACGGAAATTATCCGGTAAGTGGAAACAAGGGAACTGCTTCGCGATGTAACATGCAATTGCTAATTTAATAGACTTGAAACACGACTCTTGTGTCAATTTGCGACTTCTAGACGCGAAAATTTGACGAGTTAAGGGGCCTTGATATTACGAGGGCGTTTATGAATGAGCCACAATGCGTGTGCCGTGATTGGCCAACGGAGATGACGTCGTTGAAAGTTAACTTATATCAACGAAGTTAGCCGTGAATGGTAGTACATATGTTCACTTCTATGAATGATCCGTGGAAAAGACCGATTGCCAACATGTATCACCAACATAGCGTACAGAGATCGCCTCCAAGCTATCTAAGTAATCCGGCGTTGGATTATACAACTAATCCGGCTTATCCGGCATCAATGTGGTTTAATGCGTCCGCTATGAGTGCCGCTAATCCTTTTAATACTGGGTACGTTCCACCGAGTTATTCAACGCCGCCGCCACCACCAATGCTAACACCGAACCATCAAAGACAATACTTCCCGTGTTCGGCGAGTCTCAGCGCCACTGATTTCGGCTGGCTGTCGATACCGACGCAACAAGAACTCTTTAAGCTTGTACGTCCACCGTATTCGTACTCCGCGCTGATTGCGATGGCTATTCAGTCCGCCGGGGAGAAGAAAATAACACTGAGCGGTATCTACAAGTATGTCTCAGACAACTTCCCATTCTACAAGAAGAGTAAAGCTGGCTGGCAGAATTCCATCCGCCACAATCTCTCACTAAACGACTGTTTCAAGAAGGTGCCTAGGAGTGAGGACGACCCAGGGAAGGGTAATTACTGGATGCTGGACCCTAACTGCGAAAAAATGTTCGATAACGGCAACTTCCGAAGGAAACGTAAACGACGCGGTGATAGCAGTACCACCGCAGCGAACAGCGGTGTCCAAGGCAGCAGTCTGAATTCCTCATCGTCCACTGCCAGCACGACCAGAGAAACAGCTAAGTCTCAAACAAGTCACGCAGATACAGTCAAATCCACGAACAATGATACGACAATACTGACGGCGGCGACAACACCATCGCAAACACCAATCACGGACGCTCTGCTGAGCGGTGCTTACCATCAATCGATGGCATCACATGTGACTCCAAGCACAAACCAGTGTAACTTCAGCGTGAGTAGTCTCTTACAAAATCACTGTAGTTCTGGTCATATTTAGTAAAGCATTGCGTATTGTGCGGACATATCTATACGCCTACTAAAGAGACAACCCATGACAAGAAAAAACATTTATTTCCATTACCTTCGTCGAGTATTTTCCGATTTACGAAAGTATGGAAAGATGGTATATATTATAAAAGTTGTGTATATATTCTTTAAAACTTCAGAAATACATGATAGATTATATTAATTTGTTCGACAGACACACATCATCGCGTAGTTGTTAGCAAATCGTCTGACGAATATGCCGTTAGATTTAACCCATTCATGTTGATGTGTCGTGTGTATGGCCAATTACGAATATGCCAGCCACCATATATTTTAAAGCTACAAATCGACAAATCGGATTTTGTGAAACTTTCTATCTTCATTTAATCGAGTAAGATCATGAGATTATTTTATTATTGTTTGAGAATTTGAAATATGTCTTGACATTATGTGATTACTTTAGAACCTCGATCTTAATACAAGTAATATTCCGAGTCCAAAAAACGAATCTTTTAGTTGCATCTTCTTTAGGCGGATAACGCCGAGTGAATGGCAGTTATGGCCTGACATTATTGTAATAAGACTTCTTTGCGTCAGTTTCATAGTTGTTAATTTTGAATGACGATCGATTGGGGTGAATACTCGGAATTAATATTATCAATTACAATAATTCTATTCAATCGATTGAGGTATTAGAAATTATGAATAATAGCAAGACGACCATTGGCTTGATCACCGGACATGGGAAATTGCCGCGACATTTAACGTTAGTAATATACATATACTGTTTTTGTTTATTGTAAATATATTATATTTTGTGAAAATGTTATTAGAATTGACAGTATATATCAGTAAAACAATTCTCCATGATGAATAAAATAGTTGGCTGTTTCTGCATTTATTCCGTATTCTAGTAATTTGTCAGATAGAATAGTTTATCGAAAGATGTTCGGAAAATGGGAAAAGTAAATCTTAAAATAATAATAACTATTATTTGTTATTAGTTATAAGAAAATGCACAGCATGTTTAAACAGATGAAAAATCAAACGATACACACAACCCATGTGATTGGTGTGATCACACTACAAATGTGGTTTATCGACTGTTTGAATGAATGTTTGTTTTTTGGGGGGCATGTACGTAAATCGAACGAAAAGTCCACCCTGAAAATACATCTCGTATATAATTTATATTTTGTAGCTTCTGCCTTAGTTATTGTAAAATGGTGTGCATCCTTAATTCATATATGCAGAATAACTCTACTTGTAATCTTGCACTATGGGTCGTACGTGGTGGGGTGTACGCAACCATAACGGCAACACACGATCCTTCAAGTTTATATGGGAGAAGGTAGAATACATGGCTGTGGAGCCACAACACCGATCACGGCCAAACCATTCATTCATAGTAAATCTCGCCCAGTTACGGATGATGTTTACATGGTCAATAATGTACAAGTATTTGTTGACAAGATCAACTAAACTATCTGATGGAATGCCCGTTACTACGCAGAAATGAACAACGACGAAGTGTTACATTGTCCTGTATACAACGGCAAACGCCCAGCTAACACTTTTACGATGGGGGAAGAGGCGAGGCGGCGGGGAAACTATCAACAGCAAAGGTTGCGGGGGAAGGCAGGGGACCCGGAAGGAAAAAAATATAAAATTGTCGACACTAAAGCGATTTTAATAACTGTTTGTACGTTTGTTTAGTCCAGTGAGTACCATATACAAATCGATTATTAAAATCCCACACACAAATAGGTATTCCACTCTTAATAAAAATGTCGGCACTACTTTGAATTTCAAGAACCGGCTTGCGAACAACCAAGAAACCAATTGGGGATGTTGATTCGGCGGTGTCCCGGCCTTCATTATTCCAATTTATGTTGTAGGCAATTTAGATCATTTAAAGACAGGAACAGGCTGGCATAATCTAGACAATTGATTGTTCAACGTGTTTTCGCAATACAATAACTTTATATGTCCGATTTAATTCCATGTGAGTACCTTTAAATGATTGGACCTCGACATTAAACGAACAATACGGTTCTTCATGGTGCTTTACCGTAAATTTGGCACGACACATCACAGGTCCTCAAGTGGACTATTTTACGACTATCGATAGGTATTTAAAAGTTATCCCTAATACATTTTAAAGAAATCAGCAACAACTATTTAACGTCTCTCTTCTCTCACTCTGTGTCGGCACTTTCAAACACCCTCAGTGAAACGGGTCGCATGCACGTGCCATTTCCCGACAGTTGAAATATGGGACGTTGTTATATTAAAGTAACCACATTTAAAATTGTATTTATTGACGTACTATTGTTTTTTATTTTCTATAAACGGATTGCTCGTGTAAGCAGCGCATTCGTACATCGCGAAATACATCTCGTATAAGTGGGCCGTATAAAGCCACAGTATGTATCGGGCTGTACGGTAAATTATGTGCGTTCATTGTCGGAACAAACGTCTTGATTATTTTATCATAAAACCGTACGCTTAGCTGTGTATAATATTTGTACTTCCGGTCCACTTTCAGTGTTGACCGCTCCTGATGTTTTATGATACACGGAAAGCATTGAGATGGCGACTAAGTAGATTTCGTGTCACGGGGGGGGGGGGGTTGTTGGTTACACAATACTGAAATCACAACATCTTTACAAGTCGTTGTCTCTGTTGTGGAAGAATTTCCCATAACACACGTGTGTAAAACGTTCACTGCCGTAATGATTTCCTCCACAGCGACTCACAACAGATGTATTGCGAACGGACCGCCACTGTGACAATAAACGCTTTGTAACTTCACGTCAGTCGTAAAACTTTAAATAGGGCTTCGCGGTCTCGTGCCAACCAGACATGAAACGGAAAAATGTGTACATAAAATAGAGACCCCATGAAATCACATAATTTCAACAAACGTGAATAAACACCGTGAAATGGACCGAGCACTCCCCGCGAAGTCATCAAATTATTGAGTACTATAGTTGTGTGTTTTTCCAAGTCGATTCTTATCGACTTCTGCTGTAATTCCCATGCAGGGTTCGGTGTCTTTGCAAGCGGGTTCATAAATTGCGATGTGACGTTAACGAGTTGCGTACTCACAGAGCGTCATTACGAGTCAGTCTTAGCTTTTCTGACTAGGTAATATGAATACTGGAGCTCAATATTTTCTTTTATATTTTCAATATTTTAAAATAATTTGAACGAAATGCAGCCTCCTATCGAACTGGTACTTACATAGGAAAGGTGTATGTATATGAGTGGGAGCCGGCAAATGAGATCCATTTTTGAGTCACGGAGAAGGATTTACTTTTTTTCTGTCTTCAGTCAAAACAAAAATGGTTTAAATTCAGCACCTGCCGGTGAAAATAGTTCATAAATGTGAGAAAATATCCAGGCAGCGTAGCTTTACAACTTGTTTGTGTTATTTATATATGGTGGTCAACCACAGGCTGAAGACACCGTGAATTTCCTACAACCTTTCAAAAATTACCAACTATGAAAATGAAATATTTCGCCGAAATGTCGCAGTTAATCACGAGCAATACAACTAACAGTAACTTTACAAACTTATAACAGTAAGGAACTCTCGTTCTCTTCAATTCTTTTCAATTCAATGTTATAAACTACGAGTGACCATGGTCATGACCTGATTTTCAGGAAGGACTAGAAACATGACAACGAACAACTGATATATACAATTCATAATTCTTGTTTCCAGCTGAACAACATATTGTTTATTGCATTTGTTTCAAAACAGAGATTTGATCTTTGTTTGGAGTCCGAGTTTTTCATTTTTTGCTCTAAGTGGTGACTTTTTTATTCAGATGATTGCAGCAATATCGCAATCAACTATAATAATTCCTATTAGTGGAATTTATGTGTGGATACAATTTTCAAAAGAATCACCTAGGCAAACCGGGACATGATTTGAAAATGTGTCTACCGAAGAAAAGCGGGTTTAACTATGACAATCATTTAACCATTACAAATTTCAAAAAGTCTGTTTTTCAATAGAAACATTAAAAACAAACAAACAAACATTAGCGGATTCACTGTCTGTTTAGATTAGTTGATTTAGATTTGGGATTAACGCCTAAGAAAACACCAATATGTTTCGGAGAGTCATATTGAGGCGGTGTTACTTCGTGAGATCGGTACGAACAGTAAGGTCAGGAAGTTTAACGTTGTTGATTTTTTTCCACAAATGTCAGAAAGGTTTCTTCATTTGTTCAATTCCAGCAAAAAATGGTTAACAACAAATTCATACAAGTCTCATTACGTAATCTACAAATAATTAATTAAATTGTGGTTTTTCAATCTTTTGTTTTTCGGATGTAGCGTAAATTGCCGTACATAATCTCACTACGAAAAAAGATCGACGAACTGGAAGAAAAATTACCGGAATAAAACATGCAGCCTTTTCATAAATTGGAAATTGCGAAACAATAAACAAGCACAGTTCATATGGTTCTAATAGTTTTAAAATTGGCAAGAAAACGTCAGATAAATAAATAAAACAATATTTAAAGATTTATACTATCCGAATTTCACCAAGCTGCTATATTCAAATTAAGATATCCTAATCGATAATCAAGTTCAGCGATTGATAACATATTTCCCCCGAAGCAAGTAATCAATTTTTCCATCCAAACTGTTCACGGAATTAAAGAAAGATGCAAGCATCACGAAATCCCGTGGGCCAAGCAGAGTTTCCTCCCCTTCAAATTAAAGAGGACGTAAAACGACTGACGGCGGGACTGCGCTGGGCTTCAATGAAAATACTCAGTTTACACACAGAGTGGGAAGGTGAATTGTTTATGTATGCGACTGTATGTAAATGACACGGTATTGCTCCGATACACAGAGCGGCATGCTATGGGCCATTGCACTAAATTGCCAACTGCAGAGCTTTTGCCTACCAATTAGAACCCGAGTCCGGGGTCTTATAGCCGCAACAATGAGATCAAATCACACACCCTGCTTACAATAAACACGGCACAATAAGTCATAATTGTGGTTTGATTACCGCGCCGCGGACGGCTTGCAGATAAGTTTCTATCTAAACAGTCCCGCGATGGCCGCAGCACGCCCCGTGTCGGTGTCACAAGAGTTTGAGAAGGCCGGTGGAAAAACATACATTAATTTACGATGTAGCATAAAGCACCATGTCCGTTCCATGTCGACAATCGACCTCGGAGCATTGTTCAACTGCGAGGTCTAGTATTACAGGAGTCCATTTTTGTTGAGAAATACCGAGCCGATTTGCATTTACTATGTATGGGAGCCAGAACCGCATAGTACCCCCGACGTTTGAGCCAATGGTGGTAGAACACATTGGACATTATTGAATCTCTCTTAAATTTGTAATGAATTCCATTTTAGCTGGGATGATGTAATAATAAGAATAAGAAAGTTGAAACATTTTATTTTTAGCAGAGTTTCTAGCTGACTGGATATAATTAAAAAAATATTGTCTAAATATTAAACATAGACTTCATAATACCTGGTATTGGTATTGTTTAATTCAATTGTATTACTTTGAAATGATTACACACCTCGTATTGTTTTGTTGCAAAATTCAAGATATTTCCTTGGTTAAGGAATGCTTTAGTTTTTTCTTCAGATTGATCGATCATTTATCCCATACCCAGACAAAAGTAACTTCCAACCATCACTGAAACAAATCCGACACTCCTAAAATCGTGGTTTCATAGAATTGTGAAAATGTGTTTAAACTGTAAAATTAAACTATGTCCTATCATAATCTTATTGTAAAGGCTAACAAAAAAAATATAAAATAAATAAATAAATAACACAATACAGGTGCTCAACAAGCGCAACACAGTGAAAAATCGAACCATGGTTATTATACTCGAAAATATTGT